CGATCCTTCCACCTCAGTCTTCCAAGTAGCCAGAATTACAGGCATGCGCTACCACGCCCATCTGATTTTTTGATTTATTGTAGAGATGAGGTCTTGCTGCCCAGGCGGGCTCAGGCAATCCAGTCACCTCAGCCTCCCAAAGGCGCGGGATTACAGGCTGAGGCACCGAGCCCGGCAAACTCCATACATTTTTCTGTGATGATGTTGATGGTGAGGAAGTGCCAGGCTGCAGAGACAAATGAGAGCCCTGTCCTCATGGAGCTTACAGCCTGTTTGAGGAGACAGATGTTAATTAAACAATCATACAGGCATAAAATTACCTGTGCAGGGACCTGATCTGCATGTGAGGGACAGAGAAGGCCTTCCTGAGGGAGTGCGACTTGAGTTTAGACCTGAAGGATGTCTGCATTTACTAGGCAAAACAGGGCAGGAAGGGCGGGATAGTCTGGGTGGAAGAGCTGGTGCAAAGTCCCTGTGGTCATTTGAAAGACAGAAAGGCGGTTGGTGTGGCAGGGTCCCAAGCAGATGAACAGGGGCAGAGCAGTGGACAGAGCCTACATGCAGAACTTTGTGGGCTGTGCTTAGGATTTTCCCCTCTTTCAAAGCCAGGGGTAGTCACTGCAGGGTTTTAAGCAGCAGAGACATGTGATCAGTCACGTTGTCCAGAGGTTGCCGGCTGCCCTGGAGAATGGCCAGGAGCTGAGCTGCGTGGAGCCATGCTCTTCGGAGGCCAGTGTCTCCCCTGCTCCCTTGATGGTGATGAGGACTGTCTGCAGTGACAATCCAGGCACTCGGGACCCACCCCAGACCTGAGGGATGCCCATGGGTGGGGACTGGTGGCCACTGTCGTCAGACGAAGTTCAGAAACGCCACTATGGGACAGGTGAAAATGAAGAGAGCCAGGCTGCCCTTTAACAGCAGTGTTTAAAAAGTTGCTTCCCGAAGACCTAAGACCATGACTTGGCCAGCTGAATTTTGTGTTTTGCCTATGGCTCTGTGTTTTCTTGAGAATGGTCAAGCTAGAATGAGCGCAGGAATGGAAGTCAGTTCCCAGTGGTTTTCAGTCATTCATGTTCCCAGCCTGGTCTCAGGTTTTCTGTGAGTGCAGGGAGGCTGCTGGCACTACCCCCATCCCAGGAGAGCGCTCTCCTGCCTCTCTGAATTAACGTTGTGCTGATGTGAGCTCCAGATTTTTACCCCAGAGGTACCCTATCAAATGGCAACAGAATGCAAATGGGTGAACATCTGCACTTCTGTGTCAGCTAGTGTCATACCGACATTTTGTGGAAGGCAGCAAGGTGAGCCTGGGTTCTGGGGTCAAACAGAACTGGCTTAGAATCCCAGCTCTTCTGCTAACTGCCTGTGTGACCTAGGGCAGGGTACTGAACATCAGCCTTCTCTCTCTCCCTCTTCCCCTGTCCCCCTTTTTGTTCTAAAGTGTTGGGATTGTTAAATTAAAAGATAAAGTAGGCCAGACGTGGTGGCTCACGCCTATAATCCCAATACTTTGGGAGACCCAGGCAGGAGGATTGCTTGATCCTAGGAGTTTGAGACCAGTCTAGGCAACTTAATGAGACCTCGTCTCTACAAAAATAAAAAAATTAGCTAGGTGTGGTGGCCCATGCCTGTAGTCCCAGCTACTTGGGAGGCTGAGGTGGCAGGATCGCTTGAGCCTGGGAGGTCGAGGCTGCAGTGATACATGATTGTGCCACTGCATTCCGGTCTGATCAACAGAGTGAGGCTCCAACTCAAAAAAAACAAACAAACAATTAAGTATATTCGATATCCAGTGCATAGTAGATGCTCAAGAAATTGTAGGCTATCCTCTCCCTACTTTCCCATACACACATTTTTTCCTCCTACCACCATGGGTAGAAAGAACCTGGATGCTGATGGGCATACTTGTGTGATATTTCCAGCTTTCTATAGAGGTTTTCCACCAACGTTCATCTGTCCGTCCCTTCATCCATCCATTCATTTATTCACTCATTCATTCAACTTGACTGAGTACCTACTACAAGACAGAACGAGAAACTAGGAATCAGAAGTGGATGCTCATTGAAGATTGCTCTCCAGAAGCAGGAAAAAAATATGACTTGAAAAAACAAAAGAGGCAACAATTTGATGTCTAGTCCCTATGCTGTGGTTTTCCACACTGGGAACGAAAGTACTTCCAAAGCCAATTTCCTTCTTGAGAAAGGCTACAGTAAGACAGTACTACTGCCTGGCTGGTGTCAATGTGGCGCCAGGGCCCACTGCTCCTCCCTGCTGCCTGGAGCTGGGGTGGAACAGCACCCACTTGGGCTCAGGGTGTGGGTGGAATGACCAGAGTCCTGCCCCAGAGGGATAAGGCATGCAGCGCAGCACCAGTGGGGGGATTTATTTATTGAGGCAGGTGGTTACTGGGGATTAGGATATCCTGCATCATGGGCTCAGGTTTTTTATTTTCCTGTTGGAAAAAAGTAATACTAATAGAGCCTTGCAAAATGGTCCTCTGAGGCTCCACCTAACTTCCAGACCTGTAATTCCAAAGTGCTTAGGAGGCTAGATAAACTTGAAGTGGATCCAGGTTCCCAGCTGTGAAGACGGTTGTATCTGTCCCTGTCTCTGGCTGGCTCTTACCCTCAATCCAAGTCTTGGAGACCAGCAGTTAAGAAGGCTGACTGACAAACCAGTGTGACCACACATCAGAGAAAGTCCCAGTGACACAAAGTAGGCTTCTCCTCTGGGGAAGCCTGCTGACCTGGGCCTTTCTCAAGGCTCTTATCACCCAAGGCTCTTGCTGCCAGCAAATGGAGGAGGCACTGGTCTGAGATGCCGGGAGGTCTATTATCTCACTTCAATTCTGCTAGAACTCTGGGTGACTCTGAAAAAGTCATTTATCCAGCTCAGTTAACCTCATGTAGCCTCCATTTAGTCTTGTAATTATTGGGCCATACATAGAGGATTACAGAAGAACTTCAAACTGTAACATTCTATCATTTCAACCCACAAATATGGCCATTTGTGTTATCTTTTGTATTTTTGTCACATAATTTTTCTGCTAATAGATTATAAAGCTCCTTGAAGAGTAGAACACTGCCTTATATATCTTGGAACTTCCTAAAATATCTAGCAGAGTACTTTTTACATAGTAGATGCTTTAAAGATGCGTTTAGTTCATTGATTATATATGGGTATAAAGAACCTTACACAGAACCTATTGGTGACTACTTCTGTGAATGTTCCAGAATAGAGAACAACTGGTGTCCATCCTGAGTGGCTGCAATCGACAGATTGAAAAACCAATCAAGGCCGTCAGCAGGGTGGCAGCACACGAATGAGGTAGTGTGGAGGGAGGTAGACTGCTTCTCTACCTGCAGTTCCTTTCAAGTACAATAAAGGAAAAGTGGGACCTTCCGACAAAGGACTTACTCATCTCCCTTCACTCTTGGCATTTGAAGCTTGCCATGCTCTTTTCCAGTTTCTGTCTCAGTATTATGTGTGGCAGAAGGGTTTTTGGGAATTGTGTCACAGCCAACCAGTACTGAAACTGATCATTTCTGACCTCTGAAACACCCAGGTCATGTTATCTGTCAGATCCCTGGAGTTTAAACTCCAACCCAGCTATGAAATCCTTTAATTTGGTGGGAGTGTGTATGTGTTTCTAGCCATTTTCCATGTGCCATGTCCTGTGTGTATACATTTATGTGTGTGACTTTACACCATGGATGCTTTGAAAATTGCTAAGTTATTCACACAATAAATGGAAACTTTCATGTTGGTTAATGTGGCAACAACTTTAGGGGTTTAGGGGTTCCATCTCTTTTTTTTCTTGAGTTGGAGTCTCACTCCGTCGCCCAGGCTGGAGTGCAGTGGAACGCTTATAGCCATCCCTGTGTCAACCCCCTGGGTTCCAGTGATCCTTCTGCCTCAGCCTTCCAAGTAGCCAGAACTACAGACGTGTGTTATCAAGCCCAGCTATTTTTTCTTTTATTGTAGAGATGATGTCTTGCCACGTTACCTAGGCTGGTCTCAAACCCGCGGGCTCAGGCAATCCACTCACCTCGGTCTCCCAAAGTGTTGGGATTACAGGGATCACACATATGAAAAGTATGGCTTTAAAGAAGGCGTGGGTACAGATATGGAGGAATGCTAGGTGGGGTTGGTTAATGCCGATAGTTACTATTATAAGGCCTAGTTGGCTGGAGGTAGAGAATGCAATGAGCCCAGCCAGGGGTTTCATCTTATTGAACACAGGTTCTTGGGTTTGTAGGGCATAGAACTCTTCAACCCCAGTGGACTTTCATGTTGACGGGTTCAGTGAAACTAAGAAGTTAAGTAGCAAAAGAAAAAAATCAACACTGTTCAGAGGAGGGAGTATAGGTACCATTGATCACTAGTTTGCAGCTAGAAAAGAGCTGCTTTGAGACCATCAGCTACAACTGCTTTCAAGAGGCACTGGGAGTGAGGGTGTTAGAAGTATGAGAAAGATTTCTCTGGTGTCTCGAGGTAGGAAAATCATCTTTGGGTTTCAGGAAGGACTGGAAGTTGGGAATTAACTTTCTTATGAGTGTTTCTTTGGATTTGTGCTGTCACCTCTTGGCCATTGGTATCTGTGATTGATTGCCTCTGTCTTCTACAGCTTGGAATTGCCATTGGGTTCTTGGTTCCTCCTGTTTTGGTACCCAACATTGAAGACCGTGACAAGCTTGCCTACCACATCAGCATCATGTTCTATATAATAGGAGGTGTGGCCACTCTCCTTTTCATCCTTGTTGTCATCGGTAAGGTCCTTAATAGACTGATGAGGGTCAGGGGTGGAAAGGCAGGGGGGGTTTGGCTGACCTTGGTGGGACCCTTGTGAACATGCCCTAAACACCACGGACATTTACAGAAACTGGAGGCTGGGCTTCTTATGGTCTTCAAATGTTTTAGCCTGAGCAGTTGCCCTGATTCAGTGCCAGCTGGTCCTGTGTGCTTTGCTAGTGACTCAGGAAAGGCTTATTTGTAATTGACCAGTTCCCCAATCCCATCTCACCAGAGGTAATGGGTAGACTGCTGGTTCCCTTGATGAAACTCCAGTGAACGCTTATGCTACCACAGGCACTATGCTAAGCGTGCCTGGTCATGTTTAGTCAACAACTCTATGAGCAAGATGCCATTAAACACGGAGAAAAATTAGACTCATAAGAAGTTTAATAAGCTAGTCAAGGTTAGATAACTAGTAAGTGGCAGAGATTGGATTAAAGTCCAAGGTTGTCTAACTTCCAACTCTAACTTTCTGAAAAACAAAACAGAAATTGACACACAAATACTAATAATCTCATAGATTTTGTTTTTGGAGATGAGTTCTCACTATGATACCCAGATTGGTCTTGAACTCCTGGGCTCAAGCAGTCTTCCTGTGTCGGCCTCCCAAATGTTGGGATTATAGGCATGAGCCACCACACCTGGCCAATCTCATAGATTATCCTGATAATACCTGGGAATCATATTTCTTTAATACTTAAAAAAAAATTGTTAAGAGTAACATAGGAGCCGGGCTCGGTGGCTCAGCCTGTAATCCCGTGCCTTGGGAGGCTGAGGTGAGTGAATTACCTGAGCCTGCAGGTTCGAGACCTGCCTGGGCAACTTGGTGAGACCTCATCTCTACAATAAATTAAAAAAAATCAGCCGGGCGTGGTAGCGTGCGCCTGTAGTTCCAGCTACTTGGAAGGCTGAGGCGGAAGGATCGCCGGAGCCCAGCAGGTCGAGGCTGCAGTGGCCGGGAGCGGCCACTGCACTCCAGTCTAGGCGAGAGAGTGAGACTCCAACTCAAACAAAAACAAAAACAAAAACAAAAAACAAAAAAAAGAGTAACATAGGCTCATTGTGAAAAATTCTACAAAACAAAAAATCATAAAGAAAGGAGTGACCATGAATTTATCTTTGTACAAATTAATCCCAACCTCCAAATTCAGATTAATATTTTATATGCTATACATTTAATCGGTGAGGTATTGGGTAATACAATTTTTTATTCTCTTTTTTTTTAAGCTGGGTAATGTTATATGGGCTGTGATACATTCAGAAGCAGCAAGGTAGAGGTTTCTAATTTGTTAGTCACCTGTCTAAAGGTTAACCAGCTTTCTTCCTAATCCCTGAAAGTGCCACCTCACATGTTAAAGGTCTCATTTCTGCTTGTTGACTCTACCTCCTGAGGCAAATAGTTCTGTAACTGGGTACCTCATTCTGCCATTCTCACTGGATCATTCCCTCCCTGGGTCCAGGATGAGGAAAGCTGCTTAGGGGCTATTAAAAGCTGGCAGAATGTCTTAGACAGAGGCCTGGGTGCTCCTGGAAAGGTGAGGAGCAAGGGAGCTGACGCCGAGAGCAGGGGAGAAGGACACAGCCAGGGGCCTCCCAGCTGGACTTTGAGTTTTACACTGTAATGTGTCCAGCTCCAAATTCTTGTGTTTGTAGCAGATGAGGGCCTTGTTCTTTGCAGCTGAAAATCTGGACGTGGAACATTTCTGTGTTTCGGCATTTGATTATCAAGCACAGATCAATAGTCGCTAATTGAGTAAAGATCTGATAAACCTTATTTGAATTCTGTTTTCTGGTTGCCAAGTCCTAAGCCAACAACACCTGCTGATGCAGAGATACGTTTCCATCTTGCCTTGCATTCTTTCCCTTGATGGAAGGGGAGGTAAACAGGTAAGATCCTCAGGCCTATTTCCTTAGAAGGAGGAAGCAGGGCTCTGGAGTCAGGGTGTTTTCTAGGTAGGGGCCCCTTTGATCTGCCAGAAGGTAAACCTCATTTCCAGAGCTTCCTCTGACAGTCTGCTGGCCTTTTAGGAGCGCTCTCATGGGGCGTGGGGAGGCCACATGGCGCTTGTGTGAGGACCAGTTTGGCCAAATGGCTCTTAAGCCAGTCTGCTCCCAGAGAACTGAATGGTAGTCAGTGCAGTCAAAATGATCATACCAGTTGTACTAAAATTATCATATAAATGGGATGGTTTTCCCCCTGCCCATCTCCAACCCTTCATGTCAGAGCATCTGTTCCTGCAGGAGCGTGTGTGAGTCTTCTTGTCTCTTTCATGAGGCAGAGATCCGATTCAGACTTGGGGAAACTGGGGTGAACTCCAGGTTTTTCCTACAGAAGATCCCTTTATCAGCTGCCACGTGCCAGGATCTACCAAGCATGGGCAGCACAGGCCTTTCCCCTTGGGAGGACTTCTGGTGCTAAACCACTAACTGGACTCACTCATCCCAAAGTCTCAGCTTCTGCTGCTTCTCCATCCACGTGTTGCTGGTGTATTTTTTCAGTGCTCTGCGGCATGTTATTTGCTGGTTATTTCCTTGATCTTTGAACACTGCCTGGGCGGCCCAGTGATTTCAGCCTTCTAGAGGCCATGAAGAAAACGCAGTCAAAGGACCATTTGCTCAGCCTCAGACTGTGAGAAGCAGCCTCGAGAGAGGAGGGTGTAAAGGGTTTCATTGAAGAATTTCTGTTTTCTTTGGCAGCCATGGCTCCTCAGATATGGAGCCGACTCTGCTGGGGTGGGGCTGTGGGAAGTTTCAGTCCTCTCTGTTTCCTTTCAGTGTTCAAGGAGAAGCCTAAACATCCCCCCAGCAGGGCCCAGTCCCTGAGCTATGCCTTGGCGTCCCCTGATGCTTCGTACTTGAGTTCCATCGTCCGGCTCTTCAAAAACCTCAACTTTGTGCTTCTCGTCATCACCTATGGTAAGGTGCAGGTGTGTCCAGGAGTGCATTCGAACCCGTACCGTGAGATGAGAGGCCCTGAGGTGTCTCTGTGTCGTACTCTTGCCAGATCCCAAATGTGTGTGTCAAGGTGTTACACAGAGTCAACCAGAAGACACAGCCAGGCCCAAGGGCCTTTGCGTGTGCTGTAAAGTCCACCTGGAAAATAATTCCTTCTCGCGTCAGGTGACCTGACAGATGCCCTTTGTTCCTCTTGGTCTCATCTCATTGTCCCTTCTGTGGAGTGGAATTGTCATCTGTCTTCGCTCTTACCATGCTGTTCCATGTACATCTTCACACTTACTGGGTTTAAAGACCCTTTCCAGTTCTACCTTTCCATAGCCTGTCTCTCCCTGAGAGTGGGATTTAGGTTTTCATCTTTATAGCTCCTCAGCAGTGGCCAGCCCGCGGGTGTTCCAGTTGTTCTTGAGTGTATTCATGAATGCAAGCATGAGCCACTCTTCAGCCAGTGCTCCCTCATCTTGCATCATTGCCTTCTCTTTTACCTGAATGCATGACAGCAGCCCTCTTTCATTTCATTTTCTTGGTTTTTGACAAGATTTGAATCTTCATGCTAGTGTATTGGCTTGCCTTTCCAGCAGGGTGTTTTCTGCATCTTCCTTCCAGCATTTAATGAGACTGTTGGATCAAAGGCAAGGACAGAGTCTCATGGCATCCTGTGTGTCCTACAGATGAACACTAGGCTGTTACTTGATACTCTTAGTTCAAGCGCTACTGATCTGCCCAGCTGTGTTGCTGTTCAGCCTCTATTTGACCACTTAAGCCCCCAGTTAAGTTTGATTAAAATCAAGAGTTAACAAGTATATAACACTCTCAGTAACCATATGAAACACAGACACGAGATTGGTTCGACATGACTTATTCTTAGTGAAGCCTCAGTTGGCTTTGACCTCATGTGTTTTGTAGGCTCAAACTCTATTTTGTTGTATAACAACAATAGCATTTGCTATGTGCCAAGTACTTTTCATACATGATTTTATTTAACTCCCACTACACCCATGTGATGGAGGGTACTATATTAACCCCATTTAACAAATGGAGGCAACTAAACTCAGACTAGATAACTAGCCCGAGGTCATAATATCTTTTAAGTGGCAGAGCCAGTGTTGAAATATAGGTTGTCTGACTTCCAAGTTTGACATTCTTTTTTCTTTTTTTTGAGCTGGAGTCTCGCTTTGTCACCCAGGCTGGAGTGCAGTTGCACGTTCACTACCACCTGCAGGTTGACCTGCTGGGCTCAGGAGATCCTTCTTCCTCAGTCTTCCAAGTAGCTGGAACTGTAGGCGTGTGCCACCATCCCTGGCTAATTTTTTAATTTTGTTGTGGAGACAAGGTCTCTTCAAGTTCCCCAGGCTGGTCTCGAATCCCTGGGCTCAGGCAATCTTCTTGCCTTTGCCTCCCAAAGTGCTGGGATTGTAGGCATGAACCACCGTGCCGGGCTGAAGTTAGATATTCTTAATGCCTAGTCCATAATTGCCGGCACTCCTTCCTAGAATTGTACCAGGGTTTCATTTTAGACTAATCAATGCCCTTTATCTCAAAGTGTTTATCTGCTGAGGCACTAGGTAAGAGGTGGTGTCATCCTGGTAGAGAGTCCATCCTGTTTTTAACAATTAGATGACCTCTTGATTGGAATGAATAGCTCTAGATCACTAGACTCATTTTTGAGGTCTCAGATCTCCATTTCACATTCCCTCCAGTTTCTCAGTTCTCTTTGAGCATGTCTCTGCATTCATCTGTAAAGTAAATATAAAGTTTCCAAAACTTAGAGATGTACAACTAAGGAAGCTGTGAGTTTCCCATCAATGCATTGGTGCATTCGAGCATCGATGGGACCAGCCACTTGGTGGGAATGTTGTGGGGAATCTCAGGCTATGGATGGTGAAACTGGATGACCATTGGGGTCCCTTGCAGATTCAGGATTCCATGATTGCAAGAACTTTCACTTTTTCTTAGAGGTAAATATGTTGAGCGCATTGACCTTTGACCACCATAATAAACCTTATTGCACCTGACAACAGGGTATTAGAGGCTTACCGTGGGATTCCAGGGTGAATGAATGGTTAATAAATGTTTTTCTTTGGCTGAAGTGGTGATAGTGGTGGCAGCTGGGCAGTGGTCCCATTCCAGAGGCTGTGGTCTTCAGCTCTGAGGCTGTCGATGTTAGGCCAGGTCACTGACCCATGAAAGCAAGAAATGAAAGCAAAACGTACCAGGAACATTGTTGCTCCTGCTCATTGAGGGGCTCAGCTCTGGGCCATGCTGTGGAGAGAAAGTAACTCCTCCTTCTTCCTCTTGCATGACTAGTTACTTCTGTGGTCATTAACCTGGCAGAGTGGTTTTAATCGTGTACTTTTGGACACTCTTCCTTATCAATTTGGTTAAATGATAACACAGGAAATAAATGGGAAAGCACTTCTTGAAGGGTGGAGTGAGGACCTTAGAAAACCTGCTGGTGCAACAAGGACACCAGCAAAAATTGTCCATTTTTTCAGAGCTTTTGACAAAAGGCTTGTAACAATCCAAATGATATCTATTCAAGAAAAATGACTGAATATCAGTAAGAACAATGGGCTTCATGTTGTAACTTGCCTTGTTTCAATCCTCTTGACTACTGCAGCCTTGTGGCATGGAGCTGTGACAACCAGCTGCTCCATAGCCTTTGAAGGGAGCAAAACAAGCTTGGAGCTTCATATAGAGCATGGCTACAATTTGACCTATCTGCCAGATCCCGGGGAAAGCTCCACTGACAGGACACGCCTATATTTTACCTGACTTGGCATTTGTTTGCTCAGTGGGAAAAGCACTATCTTCAGGGCACTTGTTGAAAACAGTCATTGGCACTGTTTTACATTGCAGTGGTCTGAGGTGGCAATACAAAAACAAAAACCTTAAAAGTAAAATCTGGAGATTGTGAGGTTCACAGAGGGCTTTGAAAAGCTCTGACGTGTTCTTAGGGATTTGGAAGTACATATTCATGTGCAGAGCTGTGCATCTGCTCTGGAAAGACTTGAGAAAACTCTAACCTTTCACCTCTGGCTGACCTTGAGGCTCTGCACCAGCAGGAAGTAAAGGCTAACTAAGGCAGAGTTGTCAGCTGCCTGCAGGAGCTTTGAAGGGGAACGTCTGCAGAGGAGTTCTTCTGCACAGGTAGGACACTTACTGGTTTAATGCGTTTGAGGAAATCTCTGTCCAATCATTAGTTTACTACTAAGCAAATTGGGCAGAATTTCAGTGGCTGCACGTGGCAAAGAATAAGACTTGCAAAGAAATAGGAAAGTGTGGCCCATACACGGGAATAAAGGTGGTTAATACAAACTCCCTGAAGAAGCCCAGGTGTTGCTCATAATAAGACAAAAACTGTAAATCTACTATTATAAGTATGTTCAAAGGATTAAAGGAAATCATGTCTAAGGATTAAAGAAAAGTATGCAAATGATGTCTTGCTGAATAGAGAATATCAATAAAGAGACAAATAAAAAACTAAATAGAAATTCTGGAGTTGAAAAGTGCAATAAATGAAACGAAAAATTCACTAGCTCAACAGCAAATTTGAACAAGCAGAAGAAGGAATCAGCAAACTTCAAGATAGGTCAAATGAGACCATCCAGTCTTAAGAACCTTAAGGAAAAGAAAATAAAGAAAAATAAATAAAGCTTCAGATTCCGATGGGATACCATCAAGCCTGCCAACATATGCAAAATGGGATCCCCAGAAAGCCAGGAGGCAGAACAACAGAAAGAAAATTGTCATCTAACTTGAGGTAGCGTCAAACTAGAAACACATTTCACTTCTGAGCCTCTGGAAGCATTTGACTCCATTGTGTAAAGATAGAATTTATTAACATTTGTCTCAAAGGGCTGGGATTATCTCAATTAGAGTGAGTTAAACTAACCTGGGAGTTTTTTACACATTTCATGACAAAGAACCACAAACCCTATTTCTGTTGTACAGAATTTGACTTGGTGATAGGGCTCTTTGCCAACAAAAAAAATGATTCTTAGGTTTAATCACAGATTTGGAAAAAAAATATTTATTGAGCCACTCTTGTGTGTCATGCATCATATTAATTGCCTTATATGCTTATCTTATTAATCTTTAAAACAAACCTAGACATTAGACATAGATACTTTATTTTAAACTGAGGCTCTGAGAGATTTGGTTCTCTACCCATAATAGGACAGCTAACAAGCAATAGAGCTTAGATTTAAATTTCTCTCTGTCTGATACAAAGCCCATCTTCCTAACTACTGCACCATTTTGCCTCCCCATACAGAAAGGTGCCTCTTGGAGACAGATCCAGGGCTCTTTTCTCAGCTTCACTTGCCTGAGTTTTCATTTTGGTCTGTGTGGAGAAGTGTGTCCTTCCTCACTTTCACTCCTCCAGACCAGCTGCCTGAGGATTAATTACTTCTGGAGTTCTAGGGTCTTGGAGCAGGACCATCTGTACATCTTTGGGACTTGGAGATGATGCGGGTCTCAGTCTCAGTGTGTCTAAGGTTTATAGGTCATTATAAAGATAGTGTTTGGCACTTAATCCAACTGAGAATCTCTGCGGCCTTCTCCCACTGTCTTTGTTCCAAACTAAACCAAACAGCAATAACAAAAGCCTTCTATAAATTCAACTGGATACTTTGAAATCCCCAGAATTATCCCAATCTCCCAATATCCCTGCACTTTCTGGTTGGGCTTTGAAGAATGAAATGGTTTATCTTTTTTACATCGAACATATGATGTTTTCATTTTTTCTGAATTATATGCACTTAAGGGCATGCAGCTCAAAATCAAGCTGATGGCATTTCATGGGCTCATGTGCTGGGTATAGGTAGACATGTCTTGAGGTAAGAGCCTTGAGTGCTGGACCCATGACTCATGAGGAATGGAAGGGGTCTGAGTTTTGGTGTCCACTCTGCCAGTGACTGAGTATACCACCTTCACTGATTTTGTGCCCATCATTCATT